GCTGCTAAACTTCCGTTTACTTGACCATAGTTAGCAGCAAAGAGTGCTTATTAGGGACAGCTTTCCATATTTAGCCGGTGGCAAAACGATAGCCAACGATCATGATGTGAAAATTCAAAGAAGCCGGAAAATTGAAAAATGTGAAATTATTTCTGAGGCACCGAGTATTTCTAAGCCCTCGAACATTGCAACAATGATATAATAGCAACATGTACGGTGGAGATGTAGAGAAAATGGAGTCAGGGGCCTGAATGAATTTGAGGAGCTGGAGCTCAAATCAAAGGTAGGGCAAAAGCCACGAAAAATCAAGCTGCTGAGAGTGGGGATGCGCTTAGGCCAGGACTTGGCTGCCTACATATCTATTATTCTTTGTCCACGGCAAATGCGAAAATCTGGGAGTTTTGGGAGAAATCTTGGAAGAACTCACAAAGAATCATTAAGGATGAATGAGGGTGAATAAGAGTCGACCTCTAAAGTAGCCCCTTCCACCTCGACCACTGGAAGTTGCTCGTACCCATGGACCTGACCATTTCTGATCTCCGAAAACCGAATATGTAGCTAGCATAGCGAGCAGTAGGATAGAAGCAGGATAGATGGAACGCTAAGAAGTCCGAAACCGAAAGTCGCGCGGCGCCTCCGGGAGGTGGGGTCACATTGAATAGGTTTGATGGTATATGGAAGGGAATTGGAATGATTTCGAGAGGCCGAAATCTCAAGCACTTACTGCGAATTTCACGGATAACTCGGAATTTTAATTTGCTTTCTCGGCTTCCTCCCTCCCACCGCCCCCGCCTTAGACGAAGTTCCGGGAAAAACATATTAATTAGGAGCTGGAATGAAGGCAACGGCGATGTATCCTCGTTGCAAGACACCAGGAACTCACATGCGAGCAAAAGTGACGAGATAAGACCAGTTTATCTTGGTCGATGTAAAGAGGGAAATACTGCGGTGACTCTCAAGTAGCTGGGACAAACAACCGGGACATTCTCTCAGTTGATTTGTTTGGACGGAAATGTTCGGCAACACCTATTTTAAGAGACGCGCGAGAGTCGGAAATAACCGGACCAAGGATCAGGGCTAAAAAAAGCATTTGGACAAGAACCCTTTCAACATAGATTTCATAGATGTAGCGCTCCCCTCAAGCAGTCATTCTCGTGCTTTAAGTGTGTGAAACTGGCAAACAGCCAATAACTTGTTAGATCAGTGGCACTGTGCCCAACGATGTACTGTTGGAAAAACGTGAACTCAGAAAGTATTTCAAAACATAGACTGGAATTCAGACAAAAAGTGCTAACGAAGTGAAGTATAAGAAAACAAAGTGATGTTTCCGCCAAAGAGCCGAAAAACTGAGATTAACTACAAGACATCGCTCTTAGTCATCGCTCATTATTAACACACTTGTGAAAGCCCGTCTCTCATGCGCGTCAAACGCTGCATGTGTGACAAAAGTTGTGTACCGCGTGGGACATTCTGACGCGCATGCGCGCCATCATTTCGTCGCCCATTTTTGTTCAAGACATAGTTCCTTCTTCCCAGGTCTTTTTTCTTGTATTTTCTATAGACAAGACATTCACATGACCATAAAATACATGGCCCCAGAATGATGAAAATGCTTCAATTCAGCAAGGGTTTTCTTCACAAAATTTTTTACTTCAATTTATACTATATGCGTTTCCTTTTATTGTCATAAACACTCATATGAAAATTATGGTAGAATGAACACAAAACTCTCGGACAACAAGATAATGTTTTTAATGGAAAGGCGAGTAAAAAAACACTTCTGACGTCATTGGTAGCAAGAGTTGATAGCTTGATAGTTTTATGAGTAACCTTCATGCTTTTCCGAAATCACCTCTGCTATTCATGTTTTCAGCATTTATGGACAGGAGTCAGGATAAATTGTTGGGGTAATTCCTACTCGAATATGAAAGTAGGTATGCGAGGTGGACCCAAGTGGAGAAAAAAGGAAAGAAATCGTGAAAAACACAGGAAATACGAGCCTTTTGCTCTACGCTGTGGAGAAGTTCAAAGAGGCGGCAGGGAGATGAGATAATGTGAGCGCGGAGAGGGGAAAGAAGTCCAAGTAGAGAGAGCATAGCAGGCCAACATTACGACACAAGAGAGGTGTCGAATAGTGGGCGGGCACTGATCGTTCTGGGCGCAGGAGGATCCAAATTCTGAGCCGTCTTAGCGAAGCGTTTAGAAGCGCGAAACTGGTGCGACCGCTGCAGTGATGACCTGCTTCTCCGAAAGGGGCTTCTCCAGTGAAGCGTCCAACCCATGCCTTCAATACACAAATGAAAAGATGTGAGGTCAGGCGAGCACCCGTCCACTGGCTGCTGTCCCTACTGGCCGAGAAAGGCAAAACACGTGCTGTCGCTACGCGTTATTAGCTTAGACCAATACACATGTTTTTTAGCAATAAGAGCGAGCCTTTATGGATAGCTACTCCAATGAAAAGAACTTCTAAGGTCTTCACATATTTTTTGAATTCTTGAACCTTCACTGACATTGCTGGTGACGTCCAGTGACAGCGTCGACCTCATGTTGAGCACAACGGCGCAGGGCGATGTTAGTGCTTACAATGAAAGTGCTACTAAACAAAACTATGGCTCAGTGGTCCAAATTCGGTCGCAGCTCGTCAATTTCATTATTTCAGGTCGGCCTCAGTCTGCCCTTTGTCTCACAGGACAATCTCGAAACGACAGCTCGCAGCTTACTTCACAAAGATATCAATGTATGGGGGAATTACGCACCGAAACAAGTCGGCGAAGTCAAATGCGCGAGGCATGCACATCACACGCATGACCTGGATGGGACCGAATTTTCACGAGAATACCCTATGTGGGCTAGCGGGTCAGAACTACGCGTATGTACCGCTGGACGTACCGTGAGT